AAATCATTTAAGCGAACAATGCAATTTTTTTAGCTACCATATTTAGGTATACTCCACATCAATCTATGATTAAAGTAAATACCAAGTTTAATTCCATTGTGACAGATTGAGAGATTTCTACTGATAGTTCGCTTCATCCGATAAATGCAGCCTCATATTTGTAGGTGGCAATAAAAGGTGGAGCCAGAAAAAGTTAATCCGCTTATAAGGTATTGTAAAAAATAAGTCCCTGTACAGTAAACTCCCATATATTGCACAATGGGATTCAATGCAGTAACTTGCTATTTGATATATAGGCATCTATTACTATAGTGTGACCTTATCTTAAACAACGCACCTTGGTGTCACACTTTCTTAAAACTCTTTTGAACAATTAAACGATACTTGGATTAGATGGACAATTAAACGATACTTTTAAATTTTAAAAGCTTCAATAATTATGTTGACTATTAGATGATATAGTTCCGATATACTATAAATTATTTATACCCAAACTGATATGTTAATTTATTTGATTTGTCCAGACTTGCTAACAGTTTCTCAAATATATTGTAGATGAGAAACTTTAAATTACTAAGTGAAAGATATACGAGGGCGATTTGATAAGTCAGTGACTTTTTGAATAAAACAAATTTTTTATGGCAAATAAACATTTTATTTTTCTACACAATCACCTTTTAGCTCGATACATTTAGTCCAGCGTATTTCTAATTTTCTTAATCCTTCCAAATAATAGGTTTTCTCAAAGCTCTCAAAATACGCGTTTGTTTCGGTAATGACTCCTTCATTCGACTCAAATCTCTTACCGCCCAGCCATTTCTTTAGGTTTGGAAACAAAAAATAGTCGCAGGGGGCTAAATCTGGAGAATATGTTGGATAGGGTTCATATCCCAATTCGTGGATTTTGGCCAGTAATGCTTAATCAGCACACGATATTCACTTTTTTCCATTTTCGTAAAAATTCACGAGGTTTTCTGCTTTGAACGGCTATCAAACACCAACTGATCGACGTAGCTTGCTCAAAATTAGAAAGTTGCCCACTGGTAAAATTATTCCTCAATAATGACAACATTATGTATATCTAACTTAGTTATTATAGAAAATGAAGTTGAAGATTGATTTAATGTGTGATAAAAAGAAATATGTATATATGTAGACTACGACTACAGTATATATAAACAATAAAAAATACCTAGAGATCACTAACACTTTGATCACTAATATCATTTTTAAACCATACATTACATTTAATAAATTATATACATCTTATAATTAATTCGTGTTAAAAAGTGTAGTTTTTGAAACAAAGAATTATATATTATTATTTTTTAAATAATACTATTCATTAAATAGTAGCAAAAATCACATTTTGTCATATTGCCCTTATGTATATTATATTTGAGAAAAAAATTTTTTTTACAGGAAATATCGGAAGTAGTCACTATTTTAGTGTTTCGGATATGTCGATTTCATTTTTAGTGTACTGTTTGTGTTTGTGATCGCGAACACAAACTATAGAATTTTTTTGATGTATTTCAGACATGAGCAGTACACTACGATATTGTATTGTAAAACCTTATTTATTACTATATAATTAATTATTATTTCATTAATTTTTTTTTTTTTTAATTATTCTGAAGTAGCAAATCATTCAAAATTAGATTGTGTGACTTAAGTTCACTATTCATCCAATCATCAATTTTATTTATGTCTTCAGCAGTCAAATCGTCCTTATAACCTCCAACTTTCCCTTTACGGATGAATCTAAAAAAAAGTTGTTTAATAAAATAAACATATTATAACACCATTTACAGAATAAGGGTTAACTGGGTAACGTTTAAAAAATCCTATGGGTTCATGATGTGTACAAGAAAATGGATTAATTTAGTAATATGCGTCTTTATGACTTTTTTCTATCTTTTGTTTGAGTATATGTCTGACCACATCCTCTTTTCTATTTGTTTGTATATTTCTCTGTGTTTTCATCAGTGCTTCAATCGGTTTATCTATCTGTATGGAGGTACTTCTATTTATTTTTTCTCTCTTTTTTTTAAATGAGTAGTAAAGTATCGAAAGCACAAGATAAGTATATAACTTTAAGGTGATAATATCTTATTAGTGCGGATGCTGATTCACCTCTAGGTACCAAGCTGTTATAGGTATTACTTCGCGGGATCATCATTATCATTGATTGTTAATTAAGTTTGTTTGTGTCTATCGGTTGGTTAGTTTCTCTTTCAACTTTTTTCAAACGTTCTAGTTTTGAGTTACATCATAATATACTTTGCAAAACTGTTACCTAAAAACAATTTTTCACGCGATGTGCTCACCTTCTGATCTTGTGATCTTCGGTTGTACTATATCAGGTAGTCTTAGCTATATGAATACAGTTTGGGAAGGATTTCATAGAGCTTAAACTTAAAGCAGATATGGTCAATAAGCAATTGTCTAAAGATATTAATTTAATCACTGGGACTGCGTTTAAGCCATAAGATTTTGTGTACCTATCTAGATGTCAGTCAATAAGTCAGTCTCTCATTTTTAACATAATAGAATAAAGGTTTTGGTATTTGTGTGATTTGTTCATTAGATATCGGAAAACTTATGTTTAATAACTACAGAGTATTAGTGTATATAAGCTTATAATTAAACTTAATTTATATCCGATTACAAATTTGAAAATATGACTAAATAAAATGCACTATATCATTAGTATTTAATGAATTTGTAATGTGGATGAAATCTTAGCATTCTAGCGCCACAATTGACTTTATGCTTACCTCAAATCTCCAATCTCTTTATTAAATTTTCTAGAGAATTGTTGCGCTGCCCATATATGGTTTGTTTTTGAATTATCTGTAAATAGTTATACATATATATATATTAAATTTTATTAATATTATTATATATCTGTGTAAACTGTATTATTAAATAAAGATAACTATGGTAAATGGTAACTATGCACCTTTTGCTTTTGAGAAAAATATTTGAATAGAATTTTTATAAACTAAAATTTGTAATGAGAATGACTAATAAAAACTTTATCAGTGCAACGTACTTTTCATCTCTTCGAAAGATAAATGATGTAACATTTGCTGCATTTGAGCTTCAGTAATATTTTTATTCAGAAATTTGCAAACATCTTGTATGACAGATCTTAGATCAGACTTCATGCACTCATAACTTGTGTAATAAATCCAGGGTTCCTCTCTCAAAGCATAGAACTCAGCGACATGTAAGAAGTGTTGATGAGTTAACATATCTTCATTGATAAAATCTTGAGCATAATCTGTTGGATTTAAGAAGGAAGTTATTTGATAGTTACGTAAATGATAATAAAATGAAACAATGGCGTCTTTAGGGTTTCGGAAAACGTATATAACCTAAAAAATACATATAAATACAATATTATTGTTAATGAGTATTCAAATTGAATAAATTACTTTAGGTTTTTTAGTCCAAAGTTGTGATGGTAGTAAAGGTAGTGGTAAATGTGACTTTACAAGTCGTGGAGATTTCATTTCTGTACTATATTTTATTATACTGCCTTCACCATCATATAATACTTCATCGAATCTAATTGTGAAGTGATAAATAAACAAAGAAATATATATGAAATCAATGTCTTTACCATTAAATAAAAAATATAAAAGTAAATTATCATATGCAGGGCTGGGCAAAAAGTATTTGGCATTTTCAGATGAAATCAATCATCTGGCAAACAAAAAATAAAAACCACTTGCTGTAACTAATCCTTTTAAAGTCATCACATTTAAATTTTGCGACAACAGAAAAATCTCCTAATACTTTTCGCCCAACATAATAAATAATATATATATATTAATTTTGAATATTTACTCTAAAAATCGTGATCTCAACTCCAAATGTTCTTGTTTTGCACTCTCGAAGTCAAAATTATTTAAAACCAACCATACCAGCTCCTGCATCCAAGTGGTACCACATTTGGGTAATGTAATTAACCAGACATCATCGTCTCTGACTTCCATTTCATTGACGGCTTTCAGAAATTTCTCACTATTCTTTTTAAAGTAACACGGTCTCTGATTCCAATTTTTATTTAATACATTGGATGGATAACTTTTTGGGATAACCTTAGCTCGCTCCATTTTAGATTTGTGTTTCAATAATTTTTTTTTTATTTTTGCTTTACAGACCTGATTTCTTGTTAAATAAACAATGGTTTGGTGACTACTGAACTATTTTCGGTATTTCATTAGGTTTTTTATAAGTAAAAAATGCCAACTGAGACTTATTTTATTCTCAGGCATTTGAATAATAAATATAAAAATTATACTAACAGATAACATTATCAAATCATACTAATCGCATCGCAATTACCATTGTTGTGTTTTAGTAGTAGTTATCTTTGTTTTAGAAGTAGTAACAACTCTATAAACATATTTTTAGAGAATAAGCCACCAGATTGTAGTTGAAAAAGTTTCCACAAAATATTTTGTGCAGTATTTTAATGTATTCGGGATAATCTTAATCTAGATTCAAATTCTATTATATATTTATTTTTTATAAAAAAACAATAAGTTATCATTCTAACAACTTCCTTACCATTATCCATACCTTACATACGAGTATATACGTCTCAAAAAATATGACTCAAAAAATAATAATTAATTTTGCGTTATATTATATTTTTTAAACATAAAAACTTAAATTAATTAAACATAATAAAATATTTTCGTTGTTGCAATTACTGATCGATAAAAATACATAGTCTTATAATAAATATTTGATTGCATAAACATATTTATTCTTAATATGTAAATAAACCCTTAACCAATATTAATATTTTGAATAATTAATAATATCTTCGACAGTCAAATTATATGGCCTTAAATTATCTTCAGTCCAATCATCAAATTCTTGAATTACTGAGGCGGGTAGTTCATCCTTATGACTACCAACGATACCGCGACGTACAAATCTATAATATTATATGTAAATATTATAAGTTAAACAAATTGTATTTTGTAATAATATATTTCAAACACTATTTTTAATAAAGCAAATTATATTACCTAAATTCTTCAACTTCTCTACCAGCAGCAGCTTTCATACTTTCAAATTCCTTAACATGATTACATGCTGGATTATCTTTCATTTTGTCAAAAGATAAATGATCGACAAGTTGTGTAAGTTCTTTTTCTGTTATATCTTTCTCTAAGAAATGACAAATATCTTTAATAACACTTGATAAATTTTTCTTCATGCGTTCATAACTGGTAAAGAATACATTTGGTTCATGTCGCATTTCCCAAAAGTCCAAAACATGTGGCCAAAATGGATTGAAATTAACATATCCATCCATATATAATTGCATAAAATCTTCTTTTGTGCCTGTATAACCAACCATACCACGCCAGTGATGATAATAAGATATAGCTGCATCCTTTGGATTTCGAAAAACATAAATAATCTAGAAAAGTAATATATAACCATTGAATTGGTTGAGATTGATGTTTATATTAAAATGTATTGAACCTTTGGTTTTTTCGTCCAAATTTGCTTGGGTAGTAACATCACAGGTAAATGTGATTTTATCAAACGCGGAGAGTCTAATTTATCTGCAGCATCAATTGTATCATGTGGTACATTTGGCACAACTCCATTGAATCTGTAATATACATATATAATTAATAATAATAGTCTTACCTATAGCTATACCTACTCTAAGAATGGTGATCGTATTGTGAGATCAATTTCTTTTGCCTTTTCGAAATCATAATTATTTAAAATTAGCCAAGTCATTTCCTGAGTCCAAGTAGTGCCACATTTAGTACTTGTCACAATCCAAACATCCTCTTTGCGTATTTCGAAGCTATGAACACGCTCTAAAACATCCTGAAAACTATTGTCTAGTGTACAGTAACGAGTTCTCCAATCACCCACTATCGGGACCGATGGTTGTGAGGATGAATAGATATAGGAGCAACCGGTTGATGTGGTCAGTTTTTCAACTTGCTCGTATGGCACATTCGCTGCGAAATAACTTGAAAAGGGCATCTGTGTAAATAAAAGTTGAGGGAATATTATTAAAATGTAGTGAACATATAATTTATGTTATTCAGTGATAATTCTTTAACACTATACACTTTTATATTTCAATGAGAATTTATTTATTTATTTGTGAGTTAACAATAAAATTAATTTTAAAGTTAATTAAGAATAAAGAAGTCGACTACTGGGTCCTTCGCCCTCAATGAGAATTTAAATGCTTATATATAGTATATAGTAGTATATAGTATTTGAAACGAATTCCTTTTCTAGAACAATACATTTTGGGTATTTTTTTCAAAATTTTTTTAATAATTATTAATCTTACTTTTTCTTATTCTAATTCTTAACAAACACTTCTGTATTTCATTCAAATCTTTTGCTCGGAGTATCTTTCTGAGGTTCGCTAAAATGAAACACACACTAGGCACCAGATTTAAAGAAAATGTTGGGTGGACAGAGCAATTTGTGTGATGTGAATATATGAACTTTGTTGACAGAATAATGTTTTCTACCATTTGAAACTATAGTTTTTTTTGTGATATAGTAATTCAAATATACCAATAATATTTCATTATATTGTATTTAATTTTGTCTAATAATCCCTCAAGGTACCTCAAGGATGAATATTATTCTAATTATTCTAGAAATGATCCATCATATTCTTCAGTTCCACATTGTCTATTCACATATTGTTCCGCGTTGTCTCGAATCTATCACGAATAAGAGCTAGAAACTCCTCCTTTATCTGTTAAAAGAGAGAATAGAGCAGCATAGTAAGCGGATATCACATATTGAGCCCTGTTTTGTCGAATCCATCATCAAGAAAAAGAAGTTTCTGTTTCTTCTTGTGTTATTACCAGAGAGAATAGTGCAAGTTAATTGCCGAGTGTTAATTATCACATGAGTGGATTGCTGAAAAAATGGAAGTTTACTACAACTGGAATGACTTGATGGTCATCCTTGAAAACTAGAAAAATAATGATAAGTGATTATCATTATTACCAAAATTTTGCATCAAATCATATTGGATAAATTTAAAAATATTTTTTTGAAGTATTTACAAATAGCTGTCATATCCGCTAGTTTATCTTTGGAATGGTGAAAATATTTATTGTTTACTATTTTTTTATAAATAATTATAATGTATTATTTTTTTTATATATATGCATATTTTTTTTTCTATAAATTCAATTTTAATAATATTTAAATCTTTTATTATTTTTTAAAAATAATTTATTTTTATTAACATCACGTAGTCCTAATTTATTAATAAAATCATTTTCTATTAAATTTTTTTTTTTCTAAAAGATTTAAAAATATTTTTTATCTCTTACATCAATTGCAAAATTGTTAAAATACATACATAAATATTTTTTCTTAAGTTTTGAAAATTTTTAAATTATTCGATAATATCTCTCATGTGTTCCTATAGTAAAAAACATAATTAAACACCATACATTATTTATTATTTCTAAGTGCATTTTTTTTGCTGATTTTTTTTTAAATAAAAATGATTATTTTTATAACGAAATATCTTGATATTTTGTTTACTTTTCGTACGTTGACTTTTTTAATAAGTAATATGCAACTCATGAATGACCTAATTTTGTCTTGATAATATTTCACAGATAAATGTTGTTTTGACTACATTCTTACACTGATTTTTTTTTATTTTTTTGGTGTAGAGTTTCGAATAACAAGAACTCAAAATCTTTTAAAAATAAAATTAAGTTGCACCGTCGCGTAGCACTGAAGTCCGAAACACGTCTCAACTCAATAAAAGTTGTAAATGGAATAAAAGTTGTCCATATAAAGTTTACGAAAGAATTAATGCAATTTAGTTTGAGACTCAAATTAAAAAAGGGAGTGCGATATAAACAAAACAATCAAACGAATTGTATAGTGCGTTAATAGAATAGGGTTCCGTAGCCATATTAATGGTCACTAAAATTATTTATATAAATATGTACGAACTCGTGCTTCATATATTATTCGACCTTTTGAACCTTCGAGTATTTTGATATCCAAGTATACTTTGGACATCAAAGCAATTTGCTAATAGGCTCAAGCATTGGCATCGAGCCAATATATTCCAGAGCTAAGGTCATAAAAATCGGATTCTTTTTAAAATCGCGTCATTATAAAAGTTGTATAATATTAAATTCCCCACGAAGTTGATTACAAAAAAATTTTTTATACATCTAACCGTTCTTTAGTTTGAATGTGAAGAGTGAAGGTTACTTAGTGATATGCATGATAACGTCACGTCAAATATGTATAGAATACATAGTAGGGTTTAGAAATTTAATATATAAAATTAAAACAGTTTTTTCGTACCAAATGATATTTATGATTTTTATAAACCGCTAAAACGATCTGAATGATCGAGGTTACTAAGTAATCTCTATACAAAGGAGTCTAATACAGCCTATTACATTTCTCTTAACGATGTATAGTCCTTAATTGGTATGGTTATCATACAACAAAATAAATTACATGGAATTTTCTCTTGAACTAAACTAATGATAATCATATATACCTAGAGATGGAATATTGCCTATAACATTATTATTTATGGATGAAATTTAAGGTTGCTGGCTTACAAAAAAATAGTTGAAATTTCATTTTATATTAAAGTTTGGATATCGAATAAGAGTATATTCGATATACAGACCCATTGGGTGATATAGGAGCTCTATATATTTTACTCTATAGGAGCTCTCATATAAAGTGATATCAATGCGGAGTCTGTTTTATTATTTATAAATTAATTACATTTTTTTTGAGTACTAATGAAATTAAAAATGATTGAATTAAATTTTTAATTTGGTTAAATATTTCCATCGCAAAAATTGTCACTCAAAGTTAAAGCCCCAATTATGCTTTCGCAGAACAAACGACATGTAAACTGTGGATTGAGACGAGATAAATTTTCAAAAAATTGATGACAAACGTTATTGAATACAAAATTTTGAATAAGGAGTCGTAAGGAAATGTTGCTCTGTTACCACGTACTTCCAACATTTTCATTATTTATAAGCAAACTTGGCCAATGTCTTAATACATATTATTATTTTATGGAATATAAAAATCAATAACTACAGGGAAATAATTATGATAATGAAAAAACTTTTATTATATATGAATGAATTTATAAAATACATTGAAAAAGTTTAAAAAAAGGTTATTTCTTTTTATTTATAATCAGGTTCTTCTATTACAATTAAAGTTATATTTATGAAGGGCTTTTTCTTTATAAAGTTCAATATAAACAGTAAGTGAAAAATGCACTAATCTTCGAGTTTCACATTGTATTGCTTCTCTAGTATATATACTTGAATTTCCAACTCATTACCTTCATCTTTGTCATCAATTATATTATTATTATTCAACCTAGCTCACTATCTCCGCAATCAGATAAAATAAAAAATATCTCCTCAATTCTTTCTTGGCCAAGTTGTAAAGGTTAACAGAATTCTTGTACCTTCTTATATTTTAATTCTGGTCTTTTAACATAAATTTCAAAATTATTATAATTATCTCTGTCGTCGAATATATTTGTCTTTAAAACTATAATAATTTTAGATATACATATATATTAAATTTCTAGATCATGTAAGTAAGATGAAGCATTGAGTCATGCTTAAAAATATTGTATTCAGACCAAATATTAAAATATGAATGATCGGATACTTTGGCAAAGACTTAAGAAATTATTTGAATTGAAGGCTCAGTAACATACCGTATTACCGAGTACTTCTGAATAACACTGTGTGTGTTTATATTTGTTTTATAAAAAAAAAACCCTTTCGGATATAATAGTGATTATGGCAATTTTCTAAAATATTCAACAGAATTAATTAAATCACTTTGTACCTCTTCAAAGCTGTTTGCTTCTCTCATTTCTCGCATTGCTCTCAATAATCTCAGAACAAATTTTGGAAACCCACCGATAACCCTTTTTTTAAGTGGTTCAGATGCGTGACACCAAATTTTGAAAACTGTTTATGTAATTCATTGGCTTCTTTCTTGAAGATGTCTCAAATACTCGTGTATATTTATTTCTTTTCGATTACATGTTTTTGGGTCATTAAAAATGAAAGTTTTTCTTCGATTTAATTTTATGTGTCCGTTTGGCTCAATACGCGAACTTTTTATTCATTAAAATTTGAGTGAAATTTTATTGGTGCCCATTTAGTCCATAAATGACTTAGCACTTTGGCTTTTTATTATTTAGAAATAATAAATTTGTAAAAATATATATATAAGAGTATATATAAGAGTAATTATAATAAACTCGATAGTGTGTTTATATTTGTTAAGAAAATTAACAACATCATCGCATTAATTTTGTGAATGACTTTGATGGAATTGTTAGGTAATGCCATAGTTTGTCGCATTAAATTTTAACTTTTTGATTTATTAATTGTTATTTCTAATGGATAGAATTATTAATAACATTTTATTTATAATTAATATTTATATCACAGGTTCCTATATGAAGTAAACAAGTCATTTTTTGTACATATAAACATTATTCTACACGTGGAGTAGCTACATTGCAATATAGTCAAAGTAGATAAACTATTTTTTTTATTATTATAAGTATTAATTATATAATTTGTTTTGATATATTTTTGAATATTAAGAGTCACTTAAGCTGATTTTGAAAAATCCCAGACCTTAAAAGTTTCAAAGAAAGTCTAGTATCGTCCTTTCTCGCATGGCAGAACACAAAAAGATGAGATGGTTAAAAGCTTTACGCTGCATTTTATAGTATCTATAGATATCGGTGTATATAGGCTGAGTTATTAAATTAGATGAACTAAATAAGTACATTAGATAGATTAATTTATTGTGAAGAAAATTTAAATACGATTTAACGAAAGCCGAATAGATGAACTGGACTCTGGATAGTCTTACTGTGTATTCGACAAAATCTACAGGTGTCTGTTTATATAAATTAGTTAAAATCCATTTTTTTAATTAATTTCTAATATAAAAAAAATTCAAGTAAATAAACTTTTTTTAACATGAAACATAAATTTTTATTCAATATTTAAAATATAATTTTACAATCATTCTTATATACTATAATCAATTTTTTCATTGATTTAGTAACATAAATTAGTTTAAATATTTCTGTAGAAGTTATGGATATATAGTATATACTTATTTTATTGTAAACAATTGTACATTCATTAGTATATATATATATAAACATTTAAATAAATTTTTCACATACAAACATATATTCTATGTATTTATTTCATTTATTTCTTTTTTATATACATATATATATTTTTGCTTATTGCATTATGTTAATTATTTTATTTTTATTTAAGGAGAGTATAATATGGTTATAGTACATATAAGAATTTCAAGAATTTATTAATCTTTGTAAATTTTAATAATTTTTAAATAATTATTAATTTTACTTTGTCAAGTAAAAAGTCTTGAATTGTAGTATAGTAGAAAATTTGCCACGCCAGCATAGCTACAAAAAAATATTTCGCATAAGATATGAAAACCATATAGATATATATATATATATATATTTATAATTATTATTATATTTTTGTTTTCATTTAAAATGGATATAAGAACATTTTATAGAAATATCAATGTACATATTTTCAATATTAATTTTTTATATTTTTTTTACTTAATGTATTTTTGACTTTCATTTCAACAATTAATATATAAAATAATTAATTTTATTAGAAATTTATTTTCTAAAAATTCGTTTTTAATACTTTTTAAGTCGATCTTTTTAAACTAAGCTAAAAGGATATGAGTCAGAATAATTTTCTTTTATTTTATAATGAAAACAAAATATAAACAAAAGATAATTATAAACTAAATGAGTGCACTGGACATTTATATTTTTAAGATTAAATTAGGTAAACACTAGTTTAAACAATCAATTATTTAATTACTATACTAAATAGAATTATAATGTATTCTAGTAAAATTACAGATACGAATAATAATATATGCTTATAGTACAAATATTGAAAACTAAAACTATATAATATATATTTGTTGGTATAAGTTATTTCGGATTTAATCTGGTTGGCATCAAATAATAATATGAATATGAATTTCAAATAAGTTAGAAATAAATAAATTATAAAGAAATTTATACTAAAAATTTTTTAATTCAAAAAATTTTGCAATACATGATCATTTAGTAATATTATAAGCTTAAAAATTATTGTGAGAATTAAAATTATTATTCTTATTTTATTCCATGTTTTCTATACAAGAAAAGTTTTATCTCAAGTACTATTTTCTTTAACAACTTATCTTTCACACATAACTACAACTACTGTTTATCTAATGTTGAGTTTAATATCTATTAAAAGGTGTCATTAACCCCTTTGTCTGACCGATTTCGTCTAATTAGTCAACTCTTCAATATTTGGAAGTTTCTTTAATAATATTGAAGATAAGATGAAAGATGGAATGACTCTTGAAAGTACGGAAATTAAAATCAAACATAGGCCAATACAGACATAGTTAGTTTTATCGATTTACATCATGAAATCACCAAGAAAATATTTGTTTATAATATATACATTTTCTAGTTTTTTTCTCTTATCTTTTCTCTTTCTCTTATGTATATATTAATAACTAGTATTACTAGTTTAGTTAGTTAGTATCGTGTGTATGATATTACTATGTTACTATTCTCTTAATTCTTATAAACGAAATATATAACAGATCATACTATAAATTCACATTAAAGCTTACAAACTGCTACCAATTTAAGAA